GATCCAGACTCGACATTGGGATTCAGACATTTTGACGAGGGACTATTTGGGCTTGTGCCGAAGACTCGGTGTTGACGACATTCCCATCTTCCCCTCTTCTTCGTCTAACCCCCCTCTTCTTCGTCTGTGTATGGTTGGGGACTGGCGCATTCTTCCTGTGTGAGCGCCAGGCCCCTTCACACCATGGAGTGATGATGATGATGTATGTTCGGGGCTGCATTGCAATATTGATTGTTCGGATCATTGGTATCCAAGTCTTCCGCTACGCTATCTTGTACTTTGTGAGAGAGGTCGGTTCTTGTTCTGGTCTGCACCGTTACAGTATGCAACAACACTGTGTTACGATCTGGCTTTCAATGTGATTGTGTAATCTGAATATTGTCATCTCGCTGTTGCTCATTTTCCTTACACATGCCAATTACATGGGCAATAAGGCGTCCAGCCTTGCACCCCAGGCGGAGCCCCTCCCCTGTGATGAATGTGAAAAAGTGAGTAGCAACACAAACAACTGTAAACTGAACATCTTTTGCCTCAGTGTCACATCAAAATTCTTTACCAAAGTTAAAATTAACAAACAACCTTGCTTGGATTGTGGACTGTTGTATCGACGATTTCAAGAATGACTTTCACATTTGTGTTAATCTGGTCAGTTCTACGGGTACTATTGCCCTCGAACTTCACGATCTACATGTGTTTGCTTTGATTGACTTTGCACATGTATTCTCAACACCGGCCTGGCAAGTGGTCCCGGGCCACTCTGGTAGCCTAGCAAAATTTTGATTAGAAATTTGGTGATGAAAAGTTGTCGTTGGACTGTTTTTTGGTTAAATTGCTGTGAACGGAAGAGATCAGGTGAACGTTAAAATTTAACATTCCTGTTTGGGAAGACAGCTGAATCGGGTAAGGGGATTAATGGTGGGGGGTTGAACGAGCCACTGGTGCGATGTTGGATTTGCTGAACACTTCAGGGCTGTATAGGGCCTGTTTCGCATTACCACATATACTCTGGGTGAAAACTGCAGAACCAATATTCTACTAGTCCCTAATCAGAGTCCAAAATATGGAAGAAATTTGAAGAACACAGGTGTTTTACTATTTTCCCTACGGGCGAGGTCTCTTTTACTGGGATTCTTGATACTTTCCGACGGTAGATTGCAAAGAAGAACGAAAAGAAGTGAAAGAGGTGTAATTGGGACCTTGCCCTTGGGCTCTGAACTTGACGAAAGGTCAGTGTCGCTCCCATGGTTGTATGAGGGACTCTTGAAGATAGGTATGAGGGCCTGTGGGTGTGGCCAAAAAGATGAACTTTTGTGACCCGTTTTACCAGAGTGGATGATTACTGGGACCACGGTTGGGACATGGGTACCGTTTTCGCTTCAGTTTCACTTGGCAGTTCCAGGAAGTTCCAGGCAGATCAATCCACAAGTGCTGCATGGCGGCCCAGGTGGTTCCAGGGGGATCACTCAGTGGCACTTCAGAGCTCCAGGCAGTTCCTGAGGGGGCCGATTTTATCCACTTTTGGTGTAATCATTTGTAATTCTTTGTTCTAATAAAGTAGATGGTTCCGCTCCAGCAAATTCGTTCATAAATTTCATGCTCTCTTCTCACCCGGGATTACTTTTTTTTTCTAATTAGTTCTATCCATTGCCAGGGAACCAAGGACTCGAAAAATCAAATTAACAAAATTCTTGAGTCATTTCATGTCAATATCGCCTGGCAGCTCCAGGCAGTTGGAAATGTGGTGGAAACCGATGTTACCAATTGGGCAGCTTCAGTCACCTTGGTTGCGTGGGTGGCCGGCCCGGCAAAGGCAATGGAAGGTCGCTGCAAAAAAAGAAAAAACGAAATCCGAAAAATCCGAGAAAAAAACTATGTTGTCCACAAAAAATAAAGTGAACAACTTTTGCCTCAGGGTCACATCGAAATTTTTTGCCAAAGTTGCAATGAACCCAGATCGTGAAGAGAATGTCAACAGTGAAAGTCCAAACTGTCGAACAGCTGATGATAGTCAATAATCAAAATAGTAGCCAGATACCCAATAGATGAGAAGGCATACACAGACGAAGGAGGTGAGAGGGAGAAGAGATTGAGACAAGAGGGAGATAGACGGTGCCCACTTCTCCACGGGCTTCTTCCTCCAGCACCTCCGCAGAAATCAATGATCTGAATGAGTATCTGTAGTATCCTCCAAAGTGCCACGTGGCACAACCAATCGTTTCCACCTCAGCAATGAAGCAATGTCGACATGAAGACTCCAGGTAAGTATCACGATCTCTCCTCAGTCCTGATCACCTCCTGAATGACGATCTGTAGAACAGCATCACACATCTGTAGCCTCGCCACATCAGCAGTAGATTAGTGGCCACAGCCGGACAAGCAAGCTAGCTACCATGAAGACAGGTGCCAGCCAGCTACCATGCCGGACAAGCAAAGCGTTGCCGAGATCACAATGGCGCATAGCCAGCGTCCAGCCAGCATTCAGCCAGCGTAGCAGCGTCGAGCCAGCGTAGTAGTCAACGCGTGAAGTCAGCCTCAACGCAAGACAGAATGAATGTCAAAGCCAGGAAGTCAACACTTATGTAGTGTTGACGCGGGGTCTGGACCCCGGATGCTGTATCCCTCGGCCGTCCAGATCTCAATGTGAATGAGGGCTTAGATCGGCCTGAAACCGAATTCCCTCCGGCCTGGATGCTGTCTGGGTACCTGCGCACAACAAGTGAGTGTATCCAACCCAGGGCCTGGGT